GAAAATCATTAATAGGCAATCATTCGATGGGCTGAATTGCACAAAACGCATGATCGCACCGGCTAGCCTGCTGCGCGTTGCTATTTATTTGTATTTCGATATGGAATCAGTAAAACCACTTTCGGTAAAACGTTAATTTTTGTAAAATAAATTACTACTTATTTTTTGTAACACTTTCTACTTTTACTAATATACATTTTCTACTTTAACTAACATGCTCTATACAACCAATTTAAATTTGATTTACACCAATTACAATTACCACAGTCGGCGTATTGGCGAGGTCCAGTTGTGGTAATGATAAGAAATGTATACTACTTAATGGAACAAAACATTTCTTACTATTATATTAATTTTACAAATTTCTCTTAATTCTTATTTCCCACTTTTCTTTTTGATTCTTCTTATTTCAGCCGTTGTTAATATACCTCTCTACTGTAACAACGCAGTTCTAGAATGTCCCAAAAATTTTTAATGCCAATTCTACAGTATCTTCAAAAATTCTATTCACAGGACTGTCGAGCATCCTGTAATTCAAGAACAAAACTGCAAGATGTTTAAGAACTCTAAAAATGCAATTTTCGAATCCAAAAATTTAACTGCACAATATTCAGATATCATAACGGTGTCCTGGAACTTTAGAATTGTAATTTCATGATTCACTGCTGCTCTTCATCAGTGCGCTAATGGCTATATGAAAAGCGTACGCTTGGATCGTTTCCTCTTCAATGCATTTGACAGTTTCTTCCAACAACACGCCTTCATATCGGCACGATGCAAACACTGATGTTATTAAGGAACGAAATTTTGCATATGTTGCACCACTGAAAATTCAACTTATGATGAATTCTGCTCAATTATAACGGCACATTTTTATGCATTTTTGCTGTGCAGCGCTATAGTGCTGCTACAGCGAGCAGAAACGCATACTGTTGAGAGATCATCTGTATATTTGTCACCCACTTTCACCTCGGCAACCAGGGAAGCTGGGAGGCTGAAATTTTAGGAACATATTTCTATCTCTTCCTGTTTTAAAATTTTCGCTTATACGCGTCTAGACCTCGCATACGGGTCTCCAAAAAAATATGCAAATTTCTTTGGCAGGAAACGATTACGCGAACCAGGCAAGGTACAAAGCTGAAACTTTGCAGGGATATTCTCTGTGCATGTGCGAGCTAAGGACTTCAAATTCAGCTTTCGCGGATGCTTGCGTAGCGCGTGTAACCACGTTAAAGTTTGCACTTGGCACTGTCCTAACTCGAAAACTAGCCCTAAAACAGTAGCTGAAATGTTGTCAGCAAGTTTGTCGTTCACATGGGAAATCGTATACCTCAAATGAGCAAAAACCGATTGGGCTTCATGCAAAGAACTGATAATCACGTAACTGGAAGCCCATGCGGCCCTATGATGATGCAACACTTCATCCCAGCCGACGCTCTTTCTCCTGCATGCCGGAAGAGGCCAAAGAACGGTCAATATGAGCCCAAGTTTTAGACCACAGCACAGGGATCATTCTTGCTAATAGCGATCTGCGAGTTTAGTGCAAAAACGCATAATCGTACCGACAGGCCTGTGCGTTCCAGCCTGGGTTTTCTTACACAAAAGCTAGCAGCATTAGCCAGATAAAAAGGAATGTAACGATTAAAATATGGTTTTGTTAAGTTATTTCCCAGCAAAAAAAACTTAAATTGAAAATTTTTCGACAGAATTGCTAAAACCATCAGGATAATCGGTATCGGAATGCACTATACATGAAGCTAAAAGAATGCTCCTAAATATCCGGGGGTATCTATGCCAGACTCATCAGTACGGGCCATGGAGACCCGTGACCGTAGTTTGATTTCGTACAACCGAAAACATATTAAAAGATAAATCCTAGGCTGCATAAAAGTGAAAATATTAACCATCAATATTCCCTTCTTTCAGCACTATTC